ACCATGCCCTATGAGGAGCATCTTAAAGAGCTGGGCATGTTTAGTCTGCAGAAGAGAAGGTTGAGAGGAGACCTGATAGCCAAGTATAAATATGTGAAAGGGTGTCATAAGGAAGAGGGAGCAGGCTTGTTTTCTGCTCCCCTAGAAACTAGGACTTGGAGCAATCGGTTCAAATTACGGGGAAAAAAGTTTCCACCTGAACATTACAAGAAACTTCCTAACCATATGAACTGTTCAGCAGTGGAACTCTCTGCCTCGGAGTGTGATGGAGGCTTCTTCTTTGGAGGCCTTTAAGCAGAGGCTGGATGGCCATCTTTTGAGGGTACTTTGATTGTGCTTTTCCTGCATGGCCAGGGGTTTATTTATTTATTTATTTATTTACTATATTTCTACCCCGCTCTTTCTCACCTTGAAGGAGACTCAGAGCAGCTTCCAGTTTATACATTGGAAAACAGTACATAACACAAATATAAAATAAATAAAAATATAAATACAATTTAAATAATTAAAACATTGCACCAATCCTTGGACGAGATGGCCCATGCGGTCTCTTCCAACTCTATTATGAGCCACAGTGGCACAATCGGTTAAACCAGGGGTCCTCAAACTAAGGCCCGAGGGCCGAATACGACCCTCCAAGGTCATTTACCCGGCCCTCGCTCAGGGTCAGCCTAAGTCTGACATGACTTGAAAGCACACAACAACAACAACAACAATCCTATCTCATCAGCCAAAAGCAGGCCCACACTTCCGATTGAAATACTAATAAGTTTATATTTGTTAAAATTGTTCTTCATTTTAATTATTGTATTGTTTTTAAGTGCTTTTGGACTACAAATAAGATATGCACAGTGTGCATAGGAATTCATTCATGCTTTTTTCAAATTATAATCCGGCCCTCCAACAGTTTGAGAGACTGTGACCTGGCACTCTGTTTAAAAAGTTTGAGGATCCCTGGGTTAAACCCTTGTGCCAGCTGAACTACTGACCTGAAGATTGCGGTTCAAAACTACTAGACAGGTGAGCTCTCATCTGTCAGCACCAGCTTCCCATGCAGGGACATGAGAGAAGCCTCTCACAGGATGGTAACACATTCGGAAGTCCCTTGGGCAACGTCCTTGCAGGCGGCCAATTCTCTCACACCGGAAGCGACTTGCAGTACATTCTCAATTCACTTCTGACATTAAAAAATCTATGATTCTAAGAACGAACATGTGTCACTGTGTTTGCAGACTAAATGAACGGATGTGGTTTGATGCTGCTTTAATTCCCACGGCTCAAGGATATGGCATCCCGGGAGTTGTCCAAGGATTGGTGCAGTGTTTTAATCATTTAAATTGTATTTATATGTTTATTTATTTTATATTTTAATTGTGTTATGTACTGTTTTCCTATGTGTAAACTGGAAGCTGCTCTGAGTCCCCTTCAAGGTGAGAAAGAGCGGGGTAGAAATATAGTAAATAAATAAATAAACCCCTGGCCATGCAGGAAAAGCACAAAGTACCCTCAAAAGATGGCCATCCAGCCTCTGCTTAAAGGCTTCCAAAGAAGGAGCTTCCACCACACTCCGAGGCAGAGAGTTCCACTGCTGAACAGTTCGTATGGTTAGGAAGTTCTTTGTAATGTTCAGGTGGAAACTTTTTTCCTGTAATTTGAACCCATTGCTCCAAGTCCTAGTTTCCAGGGCAGCAGAAAACAAGCCTGCTCCCTCTTCCTTATGACACCCCTTCACATATTTTCACATGGCTATCAGGTCTCCTCTCAACCTTCTCTTCTGCAGACTAAACATGCCCAACTCTTTAAGATGCTCCTCATAGGGCATGGTCTCCAGACCTCTGATCATTTTAGTTGCCCTCCTCGGGATACCTTCCAGGTTGTCAATATCTCTTTTGAACTGTGTTGTCCAGAACTGGACACATTATTCCAGTATTCTTCTGATGGTTCAGTGTACACAAACTTATTTTTCACACACGACATTCATCAAAATATTGCATTAAATGTCACTCCAGGCTACGCATCCAGGATTTTATGCACCATAAATGAATTTGGGGTATGTCTCCAAGATGTCTTCATTGCGTACATACAGTACATTCACAGGTGTTAGGGACACAGATAGAAACAAGTGGAAATGAAATGAATTTTAAAATAAAACTACATATTTTTCTGTCTAAGAAGATATATCAGGCAGTCCCCGAGTTACAAATAAACTACAAATCCCAGGATTTCAGTGAGCTCAAAAGCAGAATCAAGCTGCATTCATTTCACAGGGTTAGTGCAGCCAGTCACTATCTCTGCCAAGGGTGCCTCAACACATTGCAAATCATAGGATTCCATAGCACTGAGCCATGGCGGTTAAAGCGGTACCAAAGCGGGTCAATTCTGCGGTGTAGAGGCACCCAGGGCAGATTCCCTCCCCCTCTCTCTCCCTCCTTCCACGTACAGTCTGTTTCCCCGCCTCTGCAGAAGCAGCAGAAGCAGCCAGGCCTGGATGTGAATGGAGAGGAGCCGCATCCTTCTTCCCAAGGCTGGCGATTGAGGAAGGCAACGCAGGAAGAGGAGAAGAGCGAGGAACCCCAAAGGTGAGCCCAAGGGAGGAAGGGAAGCTGCCTTTCCCCCTTCAGGCCGTGGCTGTTGTTGTTGTTGTTGTTGTTGTTGTTGTTGTTTTCCACGGCGCCCCCGTGTGAGAGCGAGGCGGGAGGACAAGGAACCGAGGGAGGGAGAAGGACGAAAAGGGGGAAATAGAGGGATATAGGATGGAAAAGGAGGGAAGGAGGGGATGAAATAGGACTAAAAGGGGAAAGAGAGGCTGGAATGGGGGCTTTAAAAAGGAGAAAAGAGGGAAGGAGAAGGTGTCATGGAGCTCAATGAAGAATAGGGGGAGAAATGGGGGCGAAAGGGGGGAAGGAAAGGATGCAATGGGAGCTAGAAAGAGGAAAATGGGAGAAAAGATTTGTGGGGTAAAGGAAGTGCCAGGAACAGAATGTGCAACATTGTCATATATTCTATTTATTATGTTGCATTACTGTTATATATTGTATTATATTATGGGTCCAAATGCCCTAAAGCAGGCATGGGCAAACTTGGGCCCTCCAGGTGTTTTGGACTTCAACTCCCACAATTCCTAACAGCCGGTAGGCTGTTAGGAATTGTGGGAGTTGAAGTCCAAAACACCTGGAGGGCCCAAGTTTGCCCATGTCTTCCCCAAAGGTACCACCTGAGCTAAGCAGGGTCGGCCCTGGTTAGTCCTTAGATGGGAGGCCACAAATGCCTACCAGGCGTTCTCGGCTATATTTTTGCCAGTTCCTTCCCCTGATTCCTTGTCTATATTTCAGATGAAGGAGCTGGCAAACAAAACAAAAAACCTGTATTTCTTGCCTAAGAAAACTATGAGATTGTTTTGAATCGCCCATAAGAAACAGAACATCCAATATGCCTTGTTATTGTTTACATTCGACTAACCATCCCCTGCCATGCGTTGCTGTGGCCCAGTCTGTCCCCTCTATTCCTTGCCTAAGAAAACTATGAGATTGTTTTGAATCACCCATAAGAAACAGAGCATCCAATATGCCTTGTTATTGTTTATATTCGACTAGCCGTCCCCTGCCATGGCCCAGTCTGTGTATATGTGTTGTGTGTGTATATATATATTTGTGTATATGTGGTTTGTGCATGCATTGCAATGTGGGTTTTTAAAAATATTTTGGCTTTTTAAGTCCCTTCTGCTGTGTTTTCCAGTGTTTTTTATGAGTGATGGTCACTCATTGGCCTGATAGGTGTATTGTGTCCAAATTTGGTGTCAATTCGTCCAGTGGTTTTTGAGTTATGTTAATCCCACAAACAAACATTACATTTTTATTTATATAGATTACATACCTAAATATCCTAAAGGTACCAGATGCCACCTGAGCTTGGAAGCTAAGCAGAGTCAACCCTAGTTAGTCCTTGAATGGGAGATGAACTGCCTGTCGCTCAGAAGAAGGAACTGCCAAAAAAAACAACACCCATCCCAGTCTTGAGTGTTGCCTAAGAAAACCCTACAGTATGGCCACAAATCTTCACTTGACCTGAATGCACACACACGTGTATGTATATGTGTGTGTGTGCACACACCATATATACTTGAGTATAAGCCAAGTTTTTCAGCCCTTTTTAAGGCTGAAAAAGCCCCCCTTGGCTTCTACTCAAGTCAAAGTTATTTATTATTTTACTCTGTTATTATTATTTTGTTACATGTATTATTTTTCTCTATTATTATTACAGTTATTATTTTTCTCTATTATTGTTATTAATGCATTTATTATTTTACACTATTATTATTATTACATTTATTATTTTTCTCTATGTATTATTGTTATTACATTTATTATTTTACTTTATTATTGTTGTTGCTACATTTATTATTTTACTCTTTTTATTATTATTGGAAGGATACATAAGCACATTTACATTGAAGAAGGTTAGAGTAATGGTTTAATCAGAGTTGGACAGTCTTATCTTAAATTACAGTTTAATGTAAATATTCAAAAACATTTAACTTACTGGTGCCTCGATTAATGTAATTTTATTGATATCTATTTTTATTTTGAAATTTTCCAGTAGCTGCTGCATTTCCAACTCCCGGGTTATACTCTAGTCAATGAGTTTTCCCAGTTTTTTGTGGTAAAATTAGGTGCTTTGGCATATGTGTGTGTGTGTGTGTGTGTAATTATAATTATTTTGTTTACCTCCTGCCTTTCCCCCAGTATTGGGACTCAAGAGAGCAGCATTGGTGCTTCTCTGCCTCTTGTAAAAAGAGCTAGAGCTCCTCATCCCCTGCATACTGTCTGGCATCCATCCTGTCTTCAGAGCATTCAAGGACACAAAAGCTGCAAGTTGTGGTTGGGATTTATGCAAGACTAAAGCAAGGTTTGTGTGGTATAATAAAATCTGCCCTAGGTGTACCATAGGATAATGAGGCATTTATTGGGTCTTATTTATTTCCTTTGCTTTCCACTGTGAGGCAGCTGACAAAATGATTAAATTCTGAGTGGGAGTTGAAGTCCAAGTCCTTGTTCAAACTGCATCCTGTGGGCCTTAGATGGAAAAGATATTGGTTCAGATCCCATTTGATCTTGGAATCTCAGCAGGATTAGCCCTGGTAAGTACTTGGATGTGAGACAACCAATGAATAGGCCATCTTTCATAAACCCATCTCAATAAATATTGGAGCCCCCAGTGGCACAGTGGGTTAAACCATTGTGCCGGCAGGACTGAAGACTGACAGGTTGGAGGTTCAAATCCGAGGAGAGTGCAGATGAGCTCCCTCTGTCAGCTCCAGCTCCCCATGCAGGGACATGAAAGAAGCCACCCATAAGGATGATAAAACTACAAAACACTTAGGCGTCTCCTGGACAATGTCCTTGCAGAAAGCCAATTCTCTCACACCAGAAACGACTCAAGTCGCTCCTGACACACACACAAAAAATCTCAATAAATAGTGTCATAAGAAAAGAAAAATAACTTAAAGGCACACAATAATAATAAAAAATATATATTTCTTTCTAAGCCGCATCTCTCTCCCTGAAGGGAATCAGGGTGGCTTACCACAACAAACATGCGTAACAGTTTTATTAGGCAGAGACATTTTATTTCTTATCATTACAGGTGATGATTGGACAAAGAGGAAAAAAGGGATTTGCCAAGTTGGAACATTGTGTGTGTGTTATCATTCGTAAGCTGGTTGTTTTAGCTTGTTGTTTTATCCCTTTGCTGCCTTATATTAGTCTCATCATCTGTGTCTGAAAATTGATAAGAAATACTTTATTTGCCCCAATGATGGGGAATTTCTTTCTCCCTCCTAAGAAATTTATCTTGGCTACTGATCTGATCGTTCCTCACCACCAGCCAGGATGATGGGCCTAATGGGAAATGTCTCGAACTGCCATTAAAAGGTCAAACTTTTCTTAGCCATACTTTCCTCCATGGTAGTTATGTGGGAAAATTGATAGTTAAGCAGTAATCTTTTATTTATTTATTTATTCATTTATTTATTTATTTATTTGCAGTATTTGTATACTGCCCTTCTCAATCTTTGAATTGTTTTTAATCAACAGCCTTATTATACATCCCCTTATCATGTAGCATTTTAAGGGAATTTTAGTTTATTATTTGCTGACTTCTTGTCATTCTTATCTTTAAAGATAATATATAAATATTAAAATAATTAAAAGAAGAGCACAGAGGAAATAAGTCACGTGCCTATAAAATTTTAACAATCTAAACAGACAATGATTGCATTTAGATTAAACTGTGGTTTAGTATAATCTTTTTGGTGCATGTACTCTTTTCTATTTCCTTCGTCTTGGTGAGAGGAGAAATTTGGAAGCATTTATTTATTTATTTACAGTATTTATATTCCATCCATCTCATCCCGAAGGAGACTTGGGGGATCACAGAATGTATACATCAAATATTCCATGCTGTTATACACTAACAAGCCAGACAACTGTACATAGATAGAGGTATATATAGGCTTTCCCATCTTCAACATCTTGGAGGCTTGTGCTTGGTTCCGGCCATGAGGGGTTGCTGTCACTCCATCTTCCCTTCCGAAGAGCTTTGTTTATGAACTTTCTTTTTGATCGAATCACCAGCATGTTTCTGGCATTTTCTTATGGGTGCCTTAAATACCTCCCAGCTTTAAAGCGGTATCTATTTATCTACTCACACTTGCTTTCAAATTGCTAGGTAGGCAGAAGCTGGGCTACACCTCAACCCGGGCTCTGAACTGTCAGCCTTTTGATTGGCAAGACTTACTGCAGCTGGCGGTTAACCTACTGTGCTATGGCCTTTTGCTTCCATTTTAACATAGTTTAATCCGAACTCTAAAGTGTGACTAATATTAACTAAAGTTTATTAAAACAAGCATGTACTGTTATTGAAACAAGTGGATGCTTGTTTTAATAACCACATGCCCTGCATTTTTAAAAAGTTTCAGGAGTTTTTTCTCTATCCACAGGAGCATGCCACAAACATATTTTCATCCACTCAGTTCAGTACTTCGGGTTCTGCTTACTTTTGGAGTTTAAAAAAGGCTGCTAAAGCAAGCTGCCTAGCAAACAAACTGGTAAATATTTTTCATTATGTACTCCCTTCAATACCAACTGCATCTTTTCTTCTGTATTTTCTCAGTGCACAACTCAGAGACTGAAACAAAATACAGTTGAAATCAGTCATAGTATTAAAGAACAGTGAAGGACAAAGAGCTATCGTATTAAGATACTACTAATTAAAAACAATTTGAAAGCACTAAACTATAACAGATGAGGAAAAGGTATCCCGCCCTTCTACTCTTATCTGTTTTGGCTAGAGAGCTCTGATGCAATCGTTTCAGGAAATGGACAAGAGAATTTCAAGGACTTCACCACATATCTTCTTACAATACTCAGGATTGTTATTGACTATTGCTGGAAGCAGGCTCTCCAGTGACTTTGTACCAATACATAATAAAATTTGGAATTTCTCTAGGAAGAAAAGTTAGTTCATCAAATAAAGACATCAGTGGGATGGTAGGAATCAGATCACTTTGTTGTTGGGATGCTGTGAGATTTCACTTCTGTAACATGGCCAAACAACCCGTAAAACTCACAGCAACCCAGTGATTCTGGCCATGAAAGCTTTCGACAACACACTTTGTTGTTATTTTCTCTTGGCTTATGAACCCGGAACTGTTCTGGGAAAGATCCGGGTCCTAGCAGTGTGAACATGTCTTCATATATTAGATTTAAAGGTCTATATATGACAAACAGCTCTTAGTATCAGGAACTTTCCCACTGTTCAGGTAGATTCCCCTTTCTTGAGATTTTGATTTGTTTCCTAGTCTCAGAAGCAGCAGAAAACTGAGTTGATTCAGTTTCTATGTGACTTTCCTTCAGACAATGTTATCAATGGCACCTCTATATCTTGGTTGAATGAGATTTGACTGTTCCTGCTTGCACATAATTGCTTTGTAGCTAACTCTCAAGGGTGAAACTAGGTATAGTGGTGTTTGGCAACTCTTTCAATGTGGTTTGTTTACAGAATTTGACAAATGGCGTGTCAGACCGTTCAACAACTCCTTCAGTACAGTTTGTTTACCAATTTTAATAAATTACCTGTCAGACCAATAATAAAATGAAACATTGTCTACCGATGACTGCAAATACATAGGAAGACTTGTAAGTCCTTATGGGGGGGAAAAGGTGTAGGGCAGTAATGGAAACAGAAGCAAGCCCTTCCAGCCAGCCACTTCTGCCTTGTGAAGCAACCACACTTCCTCAAAGGCACCTTAGAGATACCTTTGTGTGTTAAATCTGATTGAGAGACCTAGAGATAATATTTCCCCACTTTTGGAGGTCTCTCTCCCCTAATTCCTGTGAATGCATAGGGGTGAATTTACAAAGTCAGATAGAACTTTCAAATACATAATAATGATCTTTGCTCTTGTTTTTAGGGCAAAGGAAATGAAGTGAATCACCACTTTTCGATTCCCTGGACTCTTAGTTGATTGTCTTTAAAAGAAATGTTAGCAAATAACTGGACGATTGCACAATGTACCTTTTGAGCTGGAAATTGCTCCCTCAGTCGGATGCAAAGTCACATTTTCTCAGAATGTGCTTAAGTGAATCACAGTCCCAGGACAGAAATCTTATTTCATCATTGTGTTTTGACTAAAACAAGTGATGACCAGTACTTGGTGGATCCGTAGCTCACATTTCAGAGTGAATCATCACTTAGGTACAATAAAGCACAAAAAATGATTAGGAAATTATTTCAGTGACAGAAACGCAATAATATAAACTAGCAATTTTGAGAACAAAGAAATTGCTTTTCTGTGTGACAATCACAAGTTCAATTTCTGTTATTTGCATTATTGCCTTTTGTCTTCTGCTAACTCCAACCCAAGAGATAAGAGAAAAATTAGTCTGGACTTTTTAACAAGTAACTAAAGCCAAAATCAATTTTTTGTTGACTTAGATGTTAGATTTTCCCATTCATCATACATTTTTGACTCATTCATTCATTTGACTCATTCATTGAAAATTGCACTAAGTAAAATGGACATTTCACTCTATGGAGGACAAAACATAGTATACAGAATTCTAGAACAAGATGTAGAATTACATTATTTAGCACTGGGCTTTAAATTTTACAGGAAAAAAATCTAGCATGACACAAGTGGAGTCCTATTCATGTAATGGGACTAATCCCTCCTTTCACCTTCCAACTTTCTGCTATTTCTGGATTTGTGCAGGGTTCCCAGCCTTGTCTAGTCAATTTTGATGGCATTCAGAAGGGGAGAAGTAAGTAGTGGGTACACACATTGAAGAAATTGTCATAAGGAGAGATAAATGCATGGGCAGTTCATTAATAGGTCTTGGAGATAAAAAGATGCAATGTAATAAGGAATATTAGGTAGTGTGTTGGTGCTAAGAAGGAATTGCAGTGGTTCTCAACCTGTGAGTCCCCAGGTGTTTTGGCCTACAACTCCCAGAAATCCAAGCCAGTTTACCAGCTGTTACGATTTCTGGGAGTTGGAGGCTAAAACATCTGGGGACGCACAGGTTGAGAACTACTGAATTTGAATGTTTAACCTGTAGATAACATACCAGCAATAAAGACGTTCACATATACTTCTATCTCGAAAATTAATAGCTATTTTTGTTTCTCCATGCTTTCAAGCAGAACAAGCTAGGTCACTGTGGTTGTTTTGTTTGTTTCTTTTCCTGGCTAATCCTAGAAGTGTCAGCAGGCATTGTCCTGGACTTCTGTCCTAGCTTTAATTCTGGTTTTAGCTCTGAGGCTTCTAAGGAAATGTTGGCCTCTGAAGCGCATTTGTCTTAGTTTGCGTTGCTCATGCCACAGAAAGAACACAGTTAGTTGCGAGGTTCCTTTTTTCTTTAATGTATCTTTTTCATTCATCAGTCATTACTGTGTCTAATAGAAAGCTATATTATTATTTTACACCATATTCCATACTACTGTTGACTCCATTATTCAAACAATAATGGTTGACAAGTTCTAGAAGGAAGTAACTATGTAACAGGGAGCCCTCAGTGTGCAGTGGATTAAACCGCTGAGCTGCTGAACTTGCTAACCAAAAGGTTGGTGGTTCCAATCCGGGGAGCTGCATGAACTCCTGCTGTTAGCTCCAGCTTCTGCCAACGTAACAGTTCAAAAACATGCAAATGTGAGTAGATCAATAGGTATCCTTCTGCGGGAAAGTAATAACACTCCATGCACTCATGCTGGTCACATGACTTTGGAGGTGTCTACAAACGACTTAGAAATGGAGCTGAGCACCACCCCCCAGAGTTGGAGACGACTAGATTTAATGTCAAGGGGAAACCTTTACCTTTACTAACTGTGTAACAAGGAAAGAAAGAAAAAAACTGTTGATTTTGACACCATTTTACTATGACACCATTTTACTATGCCACTGTATATAAATAGAACTTGTGATCCATGGATTTTACTTTCCATGGGACATTCTGGAACCAAACTACAGCAGATATCAAGAGCACATTGTACTATGTACTTTAGTTGTTTTAATTACAGTGAATGCTAAAACAAAAATGTCTACTTTATAGATAAATATGTGAATCTACAAAGAAATTGATGCTCGATGTGTTAATGGGTAAATATTAACAACATATATTTTGTTTTCATTTAGAAAATATTCCTCTAGTTTCCTCCTGTTGAGAATATGGAATCAATTTCAATGATGGGAAGTCCTAACTATTTAAATGAAGCCTTCTTGCCAAATGGTATAAATGGTATCAAGGACAGCGCTAAGACTACAATAGGCATAATTGGAAGCGGGGACTTTGCTAAATCCTTGACCATTCGGTTGATCAGATGTGGCTATCATGTCGTCATTGGAAGCAGGAACCCCAAGTTTGCTGCTGAGTTCTTTCCACATGTTGTCGATATCACTCACCACGAAGACGCTGTAGGAAAAGCAAATTTGATTTTCCTTGCCATACACAGAGAACACTATGCTGCTTTGTGGGACCTCAAACATCTACTTGTTGGAAAAATCCTTGTAGATGTCAGTAACAACATGAAAGTCAACCAATATCCAGAATCCAATGCAGAATACTTGGCATCCCTTTTCCCAGATTCCTTTGTTGTCAAAGGATTCAATGTTATTTCAGCCTGGGCACTGCAACTGGGACCAAAAGATGCTAGCAGACAAGTAAGTTACATGTTTGAGCTTTATAAGCAATAGAAATAAAAATAATATTTGTATTAATTTTGGCTTACTGATGCCAACATTCACAACTCTCCTCTTATGGCTGAATTTGGTAATAGACCATGTGCCAGAACTTCGTTCTCTTTCTCCATTGAATTGTTTTGCCATCTAATATTTCATCTAACATTTGGAGCAGACATTGTTCAGTGACTAAGGCAGTAATAAGCTGAATGTTGCTGCGGTGGAACTGAGCAAATGCCTCACATCAAAGTGCCAAAGTTATCCAGAACCATAGCACTGGAAAATCTTGTATTGGCTATAAACTGTGATTTGTTTCTCCTTCTACTTAAAAAACAAGTATACTTTATGTAGAACACCAGACTTTCTTTTATTGTCTTTGAACATGATCTTACTTTGATTGTCCATGGTCTTGTATAGAAAGATATTGCTTATCTTACAGACCAAAGCAAGTTGTGCTATATATAGACTCTGGATAAAATGTAGCATTTGATCCAACACTTGGGAACATGAAAGATATAGTGGGTTGCTGTGAGCTTTCTGGGCTGTATGTCCATGTTCCAGAAGGATTCTCTCCTGATGTTCTGCCCAAATCTATGGCAGGCATCCTCAGAGGTTGCAAGATCTGTTGGAAACTAAGCAAATGGGGTTTATATATCTATGGAATGTCCAGAGTGGGGGAAAGAACTCTTCTCTGCTTGAGGCAAGTGTGAATGTTGCAATTGGCCGCCTTGATTAGCATTTAATGGCCTTGTACATTCAAAGCCTGGCTGGTTGCTGCCTGGGGGATCCTTTGTTGGGAGGTGTTAGCTGGTCCTGATGGAGTCTTGTCTGGAATTCCCCTGTTTTCTGAGTGTTGCTCTTTATTTACTGTCCTGATGTTAGAACTTTTTTTAATACTGGTATCCAAATTTTGTTCATTTTTATGGTTTTCTTCCTTTTGTTGAAATTGTCCACATGCTTGTGGATTTCAGTGGTAGTTGTTAGAGTGGTCCAGCATTTCTGTGTTCTCAAATAATATGCTATGTCCAGGTTGGTTCATCAGGTGCTCTGCTGTGGCTGACCTCTCAGGTTAAATTAGTCTGCATTGCTTTTCATGTTCCTTAACTTGTGCTTGAGTGCTGAGTTTGGTGATCCCTATATAGACTTGTCCACAGCTGCATGGACATTTCACAGATATATAAACCTCACTTGCTTAGTTTCCAACAGACTTCACTACCTCTGAGGATGCCTGCCATAGATGTGGGTGAAACTTCAAGAGAGAATGCTTCTGGAACATGGCCAGACAGCCCAGAAAACAAACAGCAACCGGGTGATTCCAGCCATGAAAGCCTTCGACTACACAATGAAAAATATAATTTGGAAATAATTTATAGAATCAAGTGTCAGACAATTTTTCCATCAAACATGCAGACAGCATTTGCTCAGAAGCTGTTTCTATAGCATACTCGCCAAGCTATTGCCTTTCTAATGTTCTGAACTACAACTCCATTGTGCCCAGACACCATGACCATTACTGAATGCTATTCCTGTAAAATAAGAAAACATCTCAGCTTTATCATTGTAGCTGCTTTAGCATTTGGTTATATTCACAAAAACTTAAGAAAAATAGTGCATGTTTTTACTTACTATATTTTTAAGTGTGGTAATGATGTCTTGTTAAATAATTGTGCTTTTACCAGATACTCTTCAAATCTGGATTTTTATAGCACTTTGCAGTTTGTATCATAATGGTACTTGAAGCTTGTACTATAGTCTTTTACTCTTTGTCGTTACTTGTTTGCGTAATTCTTTACATCAGAATATATCATTAATTAATCTCTGGGGTTTTTTTCTTGCTAGGTCTCCATCTGCAGTAACAGTGTTCAAGCTCGCCATCAAGTTATTGAACTTGCCCGTCAACTCAACTTTATTCCACTTGATTTGGGTGCTTTATCTTCTGCAAGAGAGATTGAAAACTTACCTCTTCGATTGTTTACATTATGGAAAGGCCCAGTAATCATTGCTATTAGCCTGGCCACCTTCTTCTTCATCTATTCCTTCATCCGAGATGTAATACATCCTTACGTGAAGAATCAGCAGAGTGATTTCTATAAGATCCCTATTGAGATTGTGAACAAGACCTTGCCAGTGGTCGCAATCACTTTATTGTCTCTAGTGTATTTAGCAGGGCTTTTGGCAGCTGCCTATCAGCTGTATTATGGCACTAAATACAAACGATTTCCACCCTGGTTGGAGAACTGGTTGCAGTGTAGAAAACAGCTTGGATTGCTTAGTTTTTTCTTTGCAAGTGTGCATGTGGTTTACAGCTTGTGCTTGCCCATGAGGAGGTCAGAACGATATTTATTCCTAAATACAGCTTATCAACAGGTAGGTAAAGTAATCTTTTACAGTCAAGTAACTTCGAAGTGTTCTGATATTATTGTACAAATTATTTGTAGGAATATTTTATTATTATTATCATATTTATTTGTATCCCCTTTTAATCTCAATTGAGACACAAAGTGTTTAGGACTATGTTACTATACTGTGAAAGTCCAAAAATAGCTAGAAAGTGATGGCTCAGGAAATGAATATTTCCTGATGGGATAAAATTTTGATGGGATAAAATTTTGTATATAAGTATTATTTCTTCCTTAACTTCTTGCCCCTGCCCTTGAAAATTAGTACGTTTTATACCTCCTTGGTACTGTGGAAGAAATAAATTGCACAGTCCTTAAAATGAACAATAACTTTATTTCTTTGACAATGATACTAGTTTATGCTTCTCAAAAACTAGCTAATCCTAAAAAATGCTTAGCAATTAAAATATTGAAATTAGTACATTTTAATATTTTCCAAATAAATTGCTCATGGAATTTGTAAATGAAATATTTATTTGACAAAGAAATCAATTTACATGTAACATTCTTCCCTTCCTGGAATAATGAAGTGATGTTAAATCTGTAAAGGGTGCCAAAAATTACTACAACAGTTTTCTAAAGGTAAAAATAAAGGCTTCCCTTGACATTAAGTCTAGCCGTGTCTGACTCTGAGGGGTTGTGCTCATCTCCATTTCTAAGCCAAACAGCCGGCGTTCTCTGTAGACACCTCCTAGGTCATGTGGCTGGCATGACTGCATGGAGTGCTGTTACCTTCCTGCCAAAGTGGTACCTATTGACCTACTCACATTTGGTTGGGAGCTCAACCTGCCCCGTGGATTGGAACCACCACTCTTCCAATCAGCAAGTTCTGCAGCTTAGTGGTTTAACCTGCTGCACCACCGCTGCCCCTTTTTAACTATTTACTATTTCCCTCAAAACTTACTGGAATTTTATAGGTGAAGGGGGAATTTAATATGTTCATAATGTCAGGAAACTTCCTGCCTTTGTGTATTTCTTCATATTTCATAAACATTGGAACAATAAATATAGAATTCTCGGCTTAAAAATATATTATTTTTAATAATTCCACCCCTGTATGTAGCATTTTAAAATCGTAAAGCGTGATGTTCCCTATTCCATGGAGCTCACAGTCAATAAATTAAAATAACAGAGATGCAGTATAGAGACTGGAGGGGAATAAATCTTCCTTTTTCATGGGGTTTAGATTGTTCACTCATCCATGTTATTGAACAAGTCCATGCATGCTTAGTTTCAGTCATTTTGCAGCATTTCTTGTTCCCAGAGCCCATTTACAGGGTCCTGCACATAGAGGAAATGCTGAGATTTGTATACAGTAGAAAATTAGAAAAACGTGTTCAAAATTAGAAGAATGTGTCTATTTTCTGAAATTACACATTCTTGTCATCTGTTAAGGGCATTGAAACCAGCACTTAGTAATTGCTGAAAATCCTATTCTTGGCAACTACTTGATAGATCACATGCAGAAACATTCCTTTGACATAAATATGTCAAATGCTGTAAACATTTAAATCCTCAATTCCTCCTTTCTGCAGGTCCATGAAAATGTTGAAAATTCTTGGAATGAAGAAGAAGTGTGGCGAATTGAAATGTATGTCTCCTTCGGTATAATGAGCCTCGGGCTGCTTTCTCTGTTGGCTGTAACTTCCATTCCTTCAGTTAACAGATCATTAAATTGGAGAGAATTCAATTTTATTCAGGTGTGTATAGTTGTAAATCACCACCTTACAATAGGTTGAGCTATGTAACACAACTGAATAGCTTCCAGTTGCTTTTTGAGAAATTAACAATTTCCAAAACAATGCAGCCCTAGAATGTAAAATGATTTTAGTTGAACACTAGACCTATGCAATGCTTGGTTAAAGCACACTTCTGACATTGAACAGACTTCCTCATAAGTGGGTCTTTCACAATGTGGGAATTCCCAGACATGTCTGTAAGTTGTGATGATGCACTGAGGATATCTGTTAATATTTTGCAGATATCATCTTCAGGCCTTTATCGATATGTGGTTACTGATATGAATAGCACTTTCCCTCAACTTTACTATCACTCCAACAAATATACAATCCCTGCCAATCCTACAAAAACATCATATCCTTGGCCATTTTCCAAATGCTATTTTCAGTTTTAGTCTGATAATTTAGAAGAGAGTAGCCTTTAGTCTGATAATGTAGAAGGCTGTGGGCTATTGAGTCATCATGCCAAAAATAAAATCCAGATGCTATTTTTTATTAGGCAAACACATTTCAGAATAATGAAATCAATTGTTTGTTTTGCACTCCATAAGCTGTGTCCTGCTCTGCACTCTCTTTGGTTTATTTGTACACAAGGCTATGCAGGTAAATACTTAAAGGATCCAATCATGACTTTGCAACTTTGAGCTAAATCTAATTTCAGTTTTAACTAGAAGAGATCAATGCAAATCAATTGGACTTACATTCGTTTTGTTTAATAAGTCCCATTCATCTCACTGGCTACTTCACATTAGGCAGGGAAGTATGTGGCAGAGGAGAGCAGAGAAGAGTTCAGTCTTACTCAGTTTGTTAATGAAACAGATGTTTTCCCTACCTTCTATCACACTGTTAAATGACTCTCAGTTTCCTTTCAGTATTCTTTAACTGCCATTGCTTCATACTGCAGAGATTTGGCCATACCCACCATCCTTCTCCCTGCTCATTGTTGAAAACCGGGAGGGAGGGAGAGAAAGCAGCAATGCTCTCTCTGTGTGTGTCTCTCCCTCCTTCCTTCCCTCCCTCCCTCCCTCTCTTGGCTGCCCCACAGAGAAGGATGTGGACCTTGGAAAGCTATAACTCCCAGGACTGCACAGTATGGAGTTATGGTATTTTAAAGTGGGATCCAAGAGCATTCATTCCATAGTGTAAATGCACCAAAGAAAGGGTATGGACCTTGGGAAACTATAACTACCAAGACTGCACAGCATGGAGACATGACATACCAATAATAATCATACTTCTCTCCCGGCTTTCCCATGCAACACAAGGCACAGACATATGATAGAAAGAAAGGGAAGGAAAGGACCCGGAAAGGCTATTTTTAAAAAAGAAATTGTTCTGCCAAAGTAAAAACCCGGTGAGCAAAGGTAATGCTTTCCCTAACAAGGGTACTTTTGGCTCCTCCCACAATTTCCCCTCCCATAAATTGGGGAAATATTTCATTGAAAACCTGGGAGCAACTAATGCCATCACATTACAGAAATGGCCAAACATCTAGATGATTTCAAAAGCTCCACTTCTGCACCAGCTCATGAAGCGTTTTAAAAGAATGCTGGCCCTCACATTTAAAATATGCAAAGAATGCTCTATTGTACACTTGAAGCCAAACTAATGTGATGACAAGAGTGGCTTCCCGGATTTTAGGTGTAGCACTCAGTGGAATTTAGTAAATGTGATGAAGTGGAGAGTTTGCTCTAACAGGGACTGAAACTGGATGGAATACTTCATATTATGAGAACTGCTGAATATTTTATTATCTATATGTGACATATTTTAATCTATATTTACTTCTCATTTTCCTCCTCAAAGTCTACACTTGGATATGTTGCTCTGGTCATAAGTACTTTCCACGTATTGATTTATGGCTGGAAAAGAGCCTTCGAAGAAGAATTCTACAGATTTTACATGCCACCCAATTTTATGCTTGCCCTTGTCTTGCCATGCATAGTCATTCTGGGTAAGATCATTTTACTTCTACCGTGTATAAGCAGGAAACTGAGACGAATAAGAAAAGGATGGGAAAAAAGACAATATATGGAAGATGGAACTGGAACTGGTTCACATCCCTCACCAGAAAGGGTTACGATCATGTGATTGTACAGTGACACCATTAGCTCTGTCATGTTGTCCTCTCCAAATTCTTTCTTTCATACCAGCTTTGCCGCAGACTAAAAAACTAATCTAGGAGAATAAAGTGGTGGTAAACCATCAGGAAATGAGCAATAAAGACAATGACAGATATATAATATTTTGAGCATGAAACAAATGGTATGAATAAGTACTTGCGGTTTTGTTTTCTAGACAGACAAAATTTATTCATCCCATTTCTGCCAGCTTAGGCTGCAGTTCTAAATACCGTAGAATAACTAACATTGATCCCAGGGCCCATCCAGACAGTACCTTTATTCTAGGAGCTTCCGCAACAAACAGGAGGGTGGCCAGATGCCGTTCCCTGTAAACCCGGAAGCAATTGCTACAAAAAGCAAAAAAATGTGAGATTTCCAGGTGCATGAATATTGCAGTTTTGAGCCGAATATCCAGACTTTTGCATGTCTGTAATTGGAAATCACACGATTTTTTAATCTGGGTTTGTTCCTGGGTTTTAGATGCTTGTTCCTGATTGGTGGGTTCCTTAAAAGAAGGTGACATTTGAGTAGAAGGCAAACACTTTGTTTGTATGCCTGAAACTTCATAAAACGTGTGGAGAGCACAGTTTCTCTGGCCTGCACATAGATGGGAACTTTTGCAGGTGATCCGTATAACCGAATCTCTGCATATCCGCATCTCAAGGGGGTTTTTTTTTTAAAAAACCTGCTAGTTTCTGGTGGAAGTCCCATGGTGGCCATCTTGGGAGCCTCTAAATCTCAGAACAAACAATCAAGTCTGGACAGTGGAGGCAGAAATCCTGGGACCAACAGGTCTGTATGTAGACCTCTACTGAAGTCCTGGGATTTTTTGCCCCTCACTAAAACCCATGATTTAGTGCTGCCTGGAAGTGCCCTCATTGGGGTTTATTTCAGAGTAAACCTGTTTAGTATTGCACTGTTGAGAATGTCTGTCTATCTTTGGTGGGAATGTCAGATTCAAAGCTGAACAATGGTCATCTTAAAAACATAAGGTGAGACTTACTGGATCAAAAAAGGCCAATTTAGTCCACCATTATGTTTGCACTGTTGCCCAACCAGGTGATTATAGGAAGCTCGCCAGTAAGACATTTTCTGTCCCAGTACTCTGAGCAATACTGGTTGCCTTGATCTTCTACAGTGCAAGTTCCCCAGCAACTCAATATCAAAGACAGATTACCCCCTGATACTCGAATTAATACATAGCCATCATGACCAGTAGCCATTAATAGCCTTAGCTTCTATAAATTAATCTACTCTTCTTTCAAAGCCATCTAAAGTAGTGGTTGTCACTACATCTTGTAATGCATTCCATAGTTTGTCTGTGCACTGTAACTTTTTTGTCTCTCCGCAATCACCAAAAACCTGCAGGAGCTAAAGTGCAAGTCAGTTCTCCTTATACACAGCCTTTCCTGCCATCCTGAGTACCTTCCCTGTATCCCTGGTAATTTTTACCATATTTGGGAAGTTGTTAGGGCTTTTGTTTTCTTTGATTGTTTGCAACTCCCTCACATGCTCAGAAACTGTGGTCCAAGTTGCCTGGATCTACCTACAGAGTGTCTCCAGCTCAGGACCGTTCAGGGTATCTTTTCAAATGAAAATAAAAGCTAGAGATAGGTACTCAGCTAAATTTTTAGTGTCAACATTGCAACCAAATAAGGCCTCCCTGATAAAGTTCTCTGAAGGAATAGTTTCTCCAGAGCCTCTTTAGAAACAGAACTAGCTCTGATAAGAGTCAGGGCCAAAAAAAATGACAAATTAAACTGTAGTTGGCTTGTCATATCCTGTAGTGGAAGGTTGTTCTCCAGCTTCGAATCTGGCAATGCTAAATATCAGCTTTCCTTTTCACATTTAGAAGTATTTTAAAGGATTGCTTTCATGTCACAAGATTGTCAAGAACTACTGATTAGAGTTTGTGGGCTTGGTTACACTGTCTAAATGCCTTTTGTTTCTGCAAAATGAGCCAACCTGGTATAGTGGTTTGAGCATTAGACTATGGCTTTGGAGACAACAGTTTGACTCTATGCTCAGCCATAGAAATGTATTGGGTGACCTTGGGCAAGTCATACCCTCTAAGCTTCAGACTTAGGGGTGAAACCAGGAGGACAGAATGAAGCAGAGACACATCTAAGGGCCAAAATGCTATTGAATACTATTTTGCACAATTTTTCATAAAATCAAATGTTATCTCAGCCTTTCTAGATGGTATTTCTGTTATTTAGAAGTATTTGACACCATCCTTTCTGATATTAGGGCCCCCCTGGTGGCGCAGTGGGTTAAACTGCTGATCTGCTGAACTTGCTGACCGAAAGGTTGGCGGTTCAAATCCAGGGAGCGGGATGAGCTCCCACTGTTAGACCCAGCTTCTGCCAACCTAGCAATTTGAAAATATGCAAATGTGACTAGATCAATAGGTACCACCTTGGCGGGAAGGTAACGGTGCTCCATACAGTCATGCTGGCCACATGACCTTGGATGTATCTATGGAAAATGCCGTCTCTTTGGCTTAGAAATGGAGATGAGCAACATCTCCCAGAGTCAGACATGACTAGACTTAATGTCAAGGGAAACCTTTACTTCTAATATTGGCCTTAGATGTTCAATATATTGTTTCTTTTGTAAAAGTTAATATTTTCATTTGCCCCGGAAGTGAGAATACCTTTTACAATTTCAGTTAGCAGATTCACAGTAAGGGCATTACAAATATATAAAAACACTTTATATGCATAAAATAATTTGTTACAGAGACTGACTCTACATAAGAGGTTCAGAATCTGACGAATTCATCTTGATGCACATAGATATACACTGATAGTAGCCATCCATTTCTTCCACCAGTCATATAAAATGTCTGTTGTTTAGACATGCCTAATTCAGGATAGACCTTTTGAACCTATGTTTAAAGAAATTCTAATGCTTTAATAACCTTAGTAACTGTAATTTTAATTGAAAAAGATCAATAGTTTGTGACAAATATTAGAGGTATATATGTAGTATGTGAGGGTTCTCTGACTTACTAGTATTATTTACATGTCATTTACATTGCACAAATTGTAATTTGTCTTGTGTTTGTGAAAACAAAATCGGCAACCGTAATGAATGTGATAAAATGAATTTTAACAGTATTTTACTGATTTTTGATATGGTTATGATTTGATAACCCCTTAAATCTGAAATTGTTCTCTAAACCTTAATTTTTAAATGACATTTCAATTTTATTTCTTGTTGAATAGCACTTTGTTGAATAACACTTAGAACAGGGATAAACAATTGCAACGCATCTGTGGGTCAGTTTTTTTTGTCTCTGGGGCCCACTGTTATAAGGCTGAAAGACAAAATTAAAAGGAAAAATAGGTGATTTGGATATGGAAGATTACAGAATAGCCTTGTGACCCATTTCAAAAGGTAATTGCTGCTTAAGGAAACATCTAGAAGAGGCAACTACACACACATACACACCTTGGGAGGGGGCAAAAAAGTGATGGCACAGGAATTTTGGAACTGTTAAAGGCAACCTTTGGAGAGTCCAAGTCTGCACTTTGCTACCTGTGTCTTTGCTGCCAATGCCATTCTACTTTTTTCATTAATAGCACATTGCTTTGCTATTTAGGAGGAACTCATATAGATTACAAATATCTTGTTTGGGGTGCCAAACTAGTTATGATACCAAATGTATCATTTGAAAGTATTCAGAATACTTGCATTTTTTGAAGATAAAAAAGACTTTTTAAATCAATAGTATACAAATGGTTTTCATGAGCATGAATGCACCAAATGAGACGATCTTTAACCTCCTCTTGGCCTCAGACCATCTGATATCATGTGCTTCTCTTTGTCTTAGAAATCAAATCCTTAGGAACATAGTTCTATTTTTACAGATTTCCCCTCTTTGTCTTTTTTCTTCATTAAGTATATGGGGTAGCCAAGCCATGGGTAACTTACAGCATACCTATGAACTAATGTACTCAGACCACAGTGGCACAGTGGGTTAAACCCTTATGCCAGCAGGACTGAAGACCAACAGGTCAGAGGTTCAAATCTGGGGAGAGCACGGATGAGCTCCCTCTGACAGCTCCAACTCCCCATGCAGGGATATGACAGAAGCCTTCCACAAGGATGGTAAAACATCAAAACATCCGGGCATCCCTTGGGCAATGTCCTTGCAGACAGCCAATTATCTCACACCAGAAGCGACTTGCAGTTTCTCAAGTCGTTCCTGGCACCAAAAAAAATATCAAAAACCAAACCTCAGACTACGTAATTGAAATCTGGCCTCGGGGCTGCCACAATAGCTCAGTTCATGCAGTAATAACAAGCACAAGAAGCTGTGCAGTACCCAACTCCCAGTTATACCCTGACTTTGTCAGTGTTTAGCTGCTTATTAGAGGACCATGTCACCATGCTGGGGCACTTTTGTGGGCCATGTCATTACTTCCATGAGATTTACCGGGATGTCAATCCTATCCACACTAGGAAGTATCTATCCCATGCAGCCTAGGAAGCCAATTCCATTGAAATCAATGCTATTTCCTTCTAAATAGTGGTTTTCAACTTGTGAGTCCCAGGTGTTTTGGCCTTCAACTCCCAGAAATCCCAACAGCTGGTAAACTGGCTGGGATTTCTGGGACTTGTAGGTCAAAGACTTGGGTACCCACAGGTTGAGAACCACTGTTCTGAATGAATGTATTGAGCATCAGGTTGTATGTAGACCATCTTCATGCATTCAGATTCCCATATCTTCAGGGATATGGCCCTTCTCTGCTATGAGGGCAAAGTCTTAATATGTACGCCAAAACATGTGTGCATCTTTATGTTTTTCCTTCTTACACAAAATAACACACTGTGCATCCAGAGTTCTGGATTACAGCCAGAGTTTAGCTTCTAGCCATAAGTGTTTTGAAAAATACTTTGTCATGGGTCAGGAAAGTGCAGCCTGTGGGCCATATCCTTTCTCAACAATTTAAATTCAAAATGCCCTCTGTGTCCAGTTGTAAGTGCTTGGGAATAATTTTTGCCGTGCCCTTTGGGCTGTTATAAGCTTGGAAGGAGTTGTTTAAAACTAGAAATGGTTTCTAGCCTATTTCTTGAATTTTAAAAAGGACCTTCCTGGTTTAAATCAGCCACTTCTGTACCTAAAACAACCAGAGGTGGCGTGATGTTGAATTACCCCTTATGCCAGTGGTTCTCAACCTATTAGTCTCCAGGTTAGTCTCCAACCTGTTAGTCTCTGCAACTCCCAGAAATCTTAGCCAGTTTACTAGCTGTTAGTATTTCTGGGAGTTGAAGGCCAAAACATTTGGAGACCCACAGGTTGAGAACCACTGTCTTATGCCCCCCTTGAACGTGCAAGGAGCATTTTTTTTTAAAAAAAAGTTGAAATAATTCATGGATGTGAAGCATGATCCTCCAAGGTAAAGTAAGAGGGAGCACAGTTTTCGGGCAATTGCCCATCTGAGCTGCAGAAGTGTCTTAAGTAAAATAATGTCTTAAATTATTTTTCAAATCATTTATATAAAAACATAGAGATTATTTTATTTTATATAACATTCAAATGGATATATTACTAAAACTGTATTTTTTTATAAAATCAGTGAAGAGTAACACTGAAATATGTATGTTACATAAATGTTTTGCCATATATAAACTGATTACATGCAGGTTCATTGCCTTTGTTTA